CCCACCCCACCTACATAAACCCCATTCTCCCTTCTTCCTCATTCTTTCCTTTCTTCTTTCTTGAAATTTGGTTCTGCAAACTTTGCTCTACTTCTCCTCTCCCTCTTTCGTTCTTCAGCTCCACCATTAAAGGAAAACCTGTTTCTTAAAGATTTTAGGGAAGAAGGAGAGATGGGTTAGGCTTGAATTTAGGGTTTATTTGGGTTTCAAGGTTTAATTTCTTTAGGGTTTTTGTTTGTTAACGATGGGATTTGGTTATGGGTTCAATGGGTGGTGTAATCAGTGGCAAAAGGGTTTTCAAGAATTGTGGGATTTGATTAGGATTTTTTAGGGTTTTTGTTTGTTTGTTTTTGGTTTTTTGAAAGCTGGAAAGGGAGGAAATTGGTTATAATCGTAAGGGTCTGATTCTGGATCCTCAAAGAAATCATCTTCATCTTAACCAAGAACTGTTTAATTCAAGAGAAGAAGAAGAAGAAGGGAAAGAAGAAGAGGAAGATCAAAGGATTCAAATAGGTTTTCATGGATTCCATCAGAATCATCATCAGCTTCATCAAAATCAAGAAATCCCAACTTCCGACCACCGTGTCCTCCACGGAGGATTAGGTGGTCCGGTAGGGGTGCAGCCGCCGCGGCCACAGAAGAAACGCTCTTATTTGCCTTCTTCTTCTTCTGTGGACCAACAAAACGACGCCGGAGAAGAATATGCACCGAGGTTGCCGGAAAAAATGGGAGAAAGTTATCAGTATCATAACCAGCAGCAACTCCACCAGCAGCAGCAGCAGCAGGCGGCAACTGGGTCGTCGAGATTGGGGTTGAGAAGCTCCGGCGGCAGAGGCGGCGGCGAGATTGTGGAAGTTCAGGGCGGTCACATTGTACGGTCGACTGGCCGGAAAGACCGACATAGTAAAGTATGCACGGCGAAAGGACCCAGAGACCGCCGTGTACGGCTGTCGGCTCATACGGCTATCCAATTCTACGACGTACAGGACCGGCTTGGCTACGACCGTCCAAGTAAAGCCGTCGATTGGCTTATTAAGAAAGCCAAGACCGCCATTGATGAACTCGCGGAGCTTCCCGCGTGGAAACCCACTGCGACCACCAACGCGACAACCGCCACCACCACGAATTCAACCTCGATTGCAGATTTTGAGCAAAACCCAGATCAACAAAACGCAAATCATCATCAATTAAGTCATTTTGAGCAGCACCCAGATGATAATATTGTTGATAATCAGATGGGTAATTCACAAAACTCGAGCTTTTTGCCTCCATCTCTTGATTCAGACTCCATAGCTGATACAATCAAGTCGTTTTTTCCTATGGGTGCTTCATCGGCGCCGCCGAACAACATTTCTTCAGGTATGCAATTTCATCAGAACTTTCAACCGCCGGCGGATTTGCTTTCAAGAACCAGTAGTCGGAGTCAAGATCTGAGACTCTCTCTTCAATCATTTCAAGATCCGATTCTTCAAAACCACCACCAAACTGAACAAAATAATAACATATACTTTGATGGGTCGGGTTGGCCCGACAACCAGTCTGGTGGGTTTCAAAGAATGGTGGCGTGGGGTGGTGTTGGTGGCGGAGACGCTGTTTCCGCCGGATTTGTTTTCAGCTCACAACCATCGCCGGCGACGCCATTTCTGCAACCGTTGTTCGGCCAAACAACAAACAATCAATTGTTTAACAACAATTCTCAGAGGGGACCCCTTCAGTCCAGTAACCCACCTTCGTTTCGTGCTTGGATCGATCCACCGCCGCCGTTCACCGGCGTTGCGATCGATCAACAACCAACCCTAGCTTTCCACCACCCGTCTTCCATGTCCGGATTCGCCTCCGGTCTAGGCAGGTTCTCAGGGTTCCGAATTCCAGCACGAATCCAAGGTGAAGAAGAGGAACACGACGGCATTTCCGATAAGCCGTCTTCTGCATCCTCCGATTCTCGCCATTGATTCATCTTCTTTCTCGTAATCCTCTCACAAACAGGTCAAAAAACCCAACACCCGTCTCTTCAATTTCATCCATTTTCATGATTTCTCCTTCAAATTCACCTAATTTCCGAATCTTAATCTCTATTAATTACAGGAAAATTGCTGGATTCTTGAATCTTGATACATGATCTTTAAAGCAAAGAGAGGAAGGGAGAAGAAGATCCAGTGGCGACTACACAGTGAGAGAAACAAAAACCCGAATCCATTTCAGGTTCTTCGATCACCATTGATGTGTTTTTCAAGATTTAGTTTCTTCATGTTTGAATTGAGCTCTCTGTTCAGCTCTAAACCCTGTTTTTAAATTATCTGGATTTCATGGTGTTTTGGGCCATCTATGTCACTTCTGCTTATAATTCACTACTCTGCTAAAACAGGGCAAGTAATTTGTTTCGATTCGAGTTCCTGTTCTTCACCCAACTTTGGTAAAAAACCCGAATCTTTAATGATGAAATAAACTTAGCCCGAAATCGACACATTCTTTGTAGTTGATTTGCTTTTCAGATTGAATCCATGAGAGGAGCAAATGGGATGTTTCCCTTTGTTTAGAAAATGGTCAATTTGATGATCATATCATATGTGGGGTTTGAAAGAGAGAGCTTCTGGTTCTTGTCTCTCTTTTTACCCTATTTTTGCAATCTTGCCACATTTGCTTTATTCATTAGTGTGTTCTAATGGAACATGATGAAGAAAGGATCGACGGGTCTTGTTGTTAACATCTCCATTGTTCGGTTCGTCGCTTGGATTTCTGGGAGCCACATCGGCTGATGCGTCGTTTTCGAACGATTTTTGGGCTTCGATTTTTTTTTTTTTTTTTTCTCAATCTTGAAGGTTACCCCATGTGCCATTAATTTCAATCCATATCAATCGATGTTTGTGAGAATATGTTGAATCCCGTTAGATTACGAGATCTTGACGAGAGAGGGCATTTTGAGTAGAAATAGTCCAAGTCTAACAAATTGAGGCTAAACGGGCACAAGTTGTCGGGCTACCTGAGTGTCTAGTCTCTAGAGCGGTAGAATTTGGCTCTGATACCATGTGGAAGCTCGTTTACATTACTCTTAAAAAGAGCCTTTTAAGAAAGATAAAAGAAGGTTCCAACATATATTAAGCAAAAGGGGACCTTCTTTCGAGAACTGTCTAAATCGTGAGATCTTTGAGAACCAATACATCATGTGATATTCATATGATTTTTTTTTCCATAACTGGCTAGAATTTAATGTAGTGATTAACATATATATGTTTCACATGTACTTGGTTCACAATGAGAACCTTTTTGGTGTGTTTGTGAAGCACATATCGACCGCCCCCTGACTCCCTAACCATCTAGTCTCTTGGAATAATAGATCTTGGCCTTAATACCATGTGAACCTCATCACATTTCTCTTCAAAAGAGCCTTTAAGAAGATAAAAGGAGGTTCAACATATATTCATTAACAACACTTTTAAGTCTAACCGATGTAAGACTTCGGTAATCCCCTTTTCAACAACAGAGGGTAAACATGCCCAAATTGTACCTGCTCTGATGTCATGTGGGATCCTGGTATTTTAAGAAGAAGGAGGTTAAGGGTGTGAATAATTGTGAGGGGGCAAAGGTTGATGAGTGTGCATTGAGAGTTGTACCTAATGGTACAAGCAACAACCCCTAAAATGTAAACATGATGATGGAGGGAAGTCCCCTTGCTCAATAAATAACAAATTTTTGGTACTTTGATTTCTGGGTTGTGGTCCCCTTTTTCTGCAAATCTCTCTGTCAATTAAAAAAATCAATTCATTTTTTAAACACACACAAAAAGTGTCTTCTATGAAGATGGTGACAATTGCTTCAACCTTGATGAAGACAACTCAATAGAACAAAAGGCTATTACTTGTCTAGTTTTTTACCAAATCCAAATAAACCCATTCAATTTAATTCTAGTGAATGAAATGAAACTAAACGCGCCGTTTGATTCGGTTTGGTTTGGTTTTGTTTGACGCAATGTTTTTCATGGAAGGATTTGACCCGTGAAATATTGACCACCCATTTGGGATTTCAAGATCTTATGTTTGCGGGGTTTCATTGAAATACCTGGATTTTAAACTAAAAAGGGGATTGAAATGGAATCCGATTCAGAATCCCATCGAATCTGGTTTAAAGCGGGATTGGAATAAAATTCAATTCAAAATCTCTTATCAATCCAAATGGGTCCTAAATTGAAATTTTTAAAAAATTGCTCAATTTGAATAATCATTTAAGATCCTCGTATATTATAATAACTGTGAAAATTATTATTATAAGTTATTGTTTCACATGATTTTTTTCATTTTACAATTTAACGTATTGATTAACATATATTTGTTTTATATGTATTTCACTTTCTAGTTGTATTTTTTATTTCATAAACACATAAAAAACATCCATATTAGAAAACAAATATATATGTTAATAAATACACTAAATAGGTTGTTTGGAAGTTATGAATGTTTTGGTACAGAATGATTAAGTAGTCAGAATGATTAAAAGACTCACATGATATAGTGCAAAATGAAATACAATTTTTTGGTAATTGTTTAGAATGAAATTAGGGTGCTAAATGGTTAATAAAAAAACCCATGATACAAAATTATTCAGAGGGTTTTAACAAATTTTTTTTTTGCCAAACAAGATTCACCTCTTAACGATTTAAAAACTACCTCTCAATGAAACCATTAAGAGGTAAACAAACAACCCCTAATTCCATTTCAAAAACAAAAAAATACCATATAAAATAACACATGATTCACGGATTATGAAAATTATGATTACTCTAAATCTTGTTGATTCTCCAATAAAAGATTTTGGATCTTGTGGAAATTGGGCTCTATAGTTGAGGCTGAATCTTGATGAAAAATGCATTGATTGTATATTTGCAATGATTGTCCTTTTAATTAAAATTAAAATTAATTTATTATTATTTTTATATAAAATTCCCATAGTACCCATGATTGTGAATGTGAAATTGTGAATGTGGGGGTCTATGATTTTTTTAATACTTTGGGTAATCATTTATTGTGATTATAAAAAAATGAAATGTTGGGTCCAGAAGGGATTTTTGTCCCACAATCAGAAAGAACAAATGAGGTGTTTAAGATGATAAATTATGTGTTGTGAAGTACTTAATGTGGTTTAATTAAGTGGAGTAAAGACAAAAAAGCCCCCAATCATGGCATGGCATGATTAAAAAAAGGTAGGCCATAACCAGAAAGGGAAATCCAAGCAAACACTTGTAACTCTTATCTTAATCAACTTGATACTATTCAATTTAAATACTATAATTGTCACACCCTAATTATGTTTAGGTGAAAGGGATATGTCATGTAAACACCCAACAACCCCATATATATATATATATATATATATATATATATATATATACACAAACATCATGTCTCAAATATTAGATAGAAAAGGATGGCATTCTATGGAAGATCATTTTCCACTACTAAAATAACATGATACAACTTGTACCTTGTGCAGTAGAAGCTGTACATTGAACTCAATGGTCATCATAATAGCTCTCATATTCATGCTTGATATCCATTATCTTGGATATCTATGTGTAACAAGAATTCAACAAGGGTAATTTAGTAAAATCACCTCCTTTAAATTTCTGACAGGATTTTAGATTTCTTCTGTGCGAACGTGATTACTCTCAAACCTGTCAAATTGTCATGGATTTAAGACAAACTTGTCTCTCAGAGGTCATTTAACTTGATGACCCTTGCTTGATAGCTTTACGTGTACCTTTTTCGGTTCCGACTTTTGCAACTAACGTCTTTGTTTCCTTCGGTTTCTTCCTTTGGTTCAAGACGGTGGGTCGGGCCACGACCCGAGTCTCCCACGGGCAAATTGCAATCCATCGCTCCATCCAACTCCAACCCCAGCTTTCTTTGCTTAGATCATAATACGCTTGACCGAAAGATAGATTTGAGTTGGCCCTCCACTTCATACCAAAACTCATCGTATCACAATTCGTGTCGATTTTCAAGCACAAGTTAAAATTTAGGCAATATTTGGCAACCATAAGCTAGCTTATTTTTTGAGCTTATTGAAAAAGCTCCATTTGTTTAGACATAAACTAGCTTTTTCAAAAGCTACCTTCAAGTTTCAATAAGCTTCAAGAGTTTTTTTTCTAATACATTTTTGTTTAGGTCATTTTACATTGTCAACTAGCTTATCAACTAGTTTTTACCAAATATGACCAGTTTATCAGCTATTTTATCAACTAACAGCTAGCTAATTTTATCGGCTAACAACTAGTTTGTTAGTCAACAACTAGCTTATCATCTAGTTTGCCAAACATACGATTAATGAGTTACAAATAAAACGTACTTGGTGAGAGAAGGCATATGCCATTGCTCGTTCACGCTTGTTGCTTGCTTCCTCTCTCTGATGTATCTTAGACACAATCTCGTCCATCGTCCCAGGTCCACCGCACCATTCAACCTGTTCACAAGATGATCATGAAGACAACGAAAATGATGGGCTCCTACGATATTCCGAACTTAGTGTGTCACTTCCACAATTTACGGAAACATAAGGGACCAATGCTGACATTTTGCAAAATTGCAAGGTTTTATATACCGCAATTACTCATGCACACTTCTAACTTGGTATCGTACGGGTGTGCATCAGACGGGTTCGGGTGGGCAAACAAAAAATTTGATCAGATTTCAGATATGAAACCAAGCCCCGGATTTTGTGTTTTAGATTTCGGGTAGGTTCGGGTTGGCGTTAGTCGGGTATTGTCATATGCAATATATATATAGGTATATATATATATATATATGTATATACATATGTATATATGTATATGTATATATATATATATATATATATGTCTATCTGTAATGAAGATGAATTCAAATCAATTGAGAGGATTGATGAAATCGATAGCAAGGTCTAGAAATTAGAAAAGAGTACGCCAACTAAGATTTAAAATTTCCGAAAGATAATTAAATAAACAAATATATTTATACAATATTTAAAAATTATATATATCGGGTTTTCGGACGGATTGGATGGCCAAAAATCATAACCAACCCGAACCCAAATATCCCTTCAAAAGTCGGGTTTCAGATTTTTGGATTTCGGGTCATACGGGTTTTGCGCACACACATTTTTTCAGTTCGGGCTCGGATTTTGGGCCATTCGGATTTTGCAGACCCTAGGTACCAGTGGGATAACGACCCTTCCTTTACAAATTACCTCTAGTTCATGGAGTTTGGACTCAAGTTTCAAGTGATTTTGAAGCTTCTTCTGTTTTATCCGGCTTTCCGTGACCATGCAAAGTCGACGAGTTCTGATCTCGGATTGTATTTTGCTCCACAAATGTATTCTGTCGAGAGCACTTAAAGCTTGCTTCGTAAGAGCATCGCCCTCGATCAATGCCTGAAATTTCGAAGTCCCTTGAACACGATTTAACGATTTCCTTGTCTGTCATTTGATTATACGTAAAAATAAATCATCAAGATTCTCCTTTCAAATCACAACACACAATGTGGGTTCCAAACAAGCCCAGTATATCGCATCGGGATGTGGGGTCCGAAGAAGACCAAAAATGGCAAATTAGTAAAGCAACGGAAGTGATGAACATAGGGCGTTATCTTACCTCCGATTTTTTCGGTTTGTTTTCCTTCTTTCTCTTATTGCAAATCATCCTCTTATACCAAGCCCACAGACCCATTTGCAGTTGATAAAATTGAGCAAAAACCTGGAACAAAAAAGGATTGTTCTTGATTAGAAACTCCATAGAAAATACTTGTAGAGTTGTAGATGAAGCTGCAGCCTTGTAGGATGAATAAGGGCTGTTTGGTTGCTTTTTCATTAAGTCTTGTATGGATAAAGATGTTTTTTCACAAGTGGAATAAGCTTTATTTTAATTAGGAGAGGTACGATTAGAAAAAAAAAACCTTAGTTTTATGCGTAAAGCTCCACCCTAGAAGGTTACTGTGTAAGCCACTTTCCATGTCATGAATGTATAGCCGACCGAATAAGCTGTGAGTTTCATTAAGGGGCTGTTTGGTTGGTTTCCCATTAATTTATGTATGGATAAAGGTGTCTTTGTGTATTACCAGGAAAGTTTTTGTTTGAGAGGTTTTTTCATAGACGAAAGGAGCGTTTTTTTAGTTGTGAAAAAACTTGGTTTTCTGGATAAAGCTTCCCCTAGAAGCTTACAGAATAAGTCACTTTCTATATCATTAAGCTACTACCAAACAGTCATCTATAACTGACTGAATAAGCTGTGAGTCCATTTAACCTGCTAAGGTGCCAACTAACAGACCCTAAATGTGAAATTGAACCCATAATCTTACACGGTTCCACATATTTCCAACTTTACATGGGATCAGAGCCAATATTTACCATTCTATGAACTCGACACTGGCAATCTATACTTGTCTAGCCCCTCTGTATTGGAGTCTCGTATCACATCAACTAAAATTGAACCATTTCTCTTCGATATATATGCCGAAATTACTCTTTTTATTAAGGGTTCTTTTCAAAAGTAAACACGAACTTCTAGATCAAAATAAATGATAATGAAGATGAATCTGATTTGACACCCATTCGAATCGAAGAACAACCCATTTACAATTACACCATCATCAGCAAAACTAACAGTATCAAGCAAAAAACGATGTACTGATTCAAGCAACTAATGATTATTAATCACAGTAATCACTAATCAAACACGAAATCACACACCAGATCAAGCCCTAAATAACAAAAACGAATTAATCAATCAAACAGAAGAACCCTAATTCGTAAAACGAAAAATTCCCACCAAAATTCAAGATCTGCAAAGAGGGTTTCCGCGTACCTGCAACTGCAGATCTGATAAAGTAACCTCAATTTGGGAGAGGTTAAAGAAATCGAAGATATTTCAACCATTTTCCGAAAGGAAAATAAGGTGTGAAAGCATTCTCAGAAACCGACACAAAACCTAGATTTTGGGTGGGAGAGTTCGATCTGGAAATCTTCAAATCCAAACCTACAAAGAAAACGAACCCACAACGATTTGGCTGAATTTGGAGGAATAATTCATGGAAAACAATAAATTGAAATTAAAAAAACATACAAAATTCATTGGTCCCGGCGGGGCTCGAACCCGCGACCTTCGGCTCATAAGACCAACGCTCTAACCAACTGAGCTACGGGACCTTGATGTTTATAACCCTTTGAAGAACCTATTAATCCGCCATTAAAGCCATAGACTTAAATCCTTTATTTTGAGAACGTAGAAAATGTTGTATTTTAATATTTTAAACACAAAATATTATTTTATGGAGTATTTCTATCATTTTATATTAATTTTATGGATGGATAAATCGGTTTTAAAAAGAACGGTTTTGATACCTGACAAAACGGTGAAATTTTACATATAATTACTATTTATAAACTGTGGATAGCGCTAACGGTTATTTTTTGAAAATCAAGGGGCGATACATTTTTTTATTCAATGTACAGCGAATTATTACAGATAAAAGATTGCGCTCCCCTGGAATTTGTTTTGATTATTCCTTGTGCTGCATCCAACCACGCTCCTCCGGCTGCTTTCAGTTCCTTTAGTACTGAATGCTTCGAGGGGGATACTGCAAAAAGAGTTGGAAGCGGGCATGAAGAGGGTATGTGATGGGGATAAGACGGTTTCTTCTTCCGATAGCGTGAGCAAAGGACTTCGTAAGATGGGATCTGTAAACGGGTACGCATGATATGAAGTTATAGAAAGTTTATGGTTCTTAAATATATACACCAAACAACAATATGGTTTTACTTGTTTGATGTATTTATCACTGTTATCATATGATTTGACTGAAACTTGAAAAAATCGCTTGTAGAAGGACGAGTGGTCCTACAAGACATTCGACAAAGGGGTCAGTGATTGCAAAAATGGCATATTGGCGACATTGTCGGGAGAACCCTTATATACCTTGTAAGTATGCTCAGTTTTTGCTTATTTACAATATTTTCACCATTATGACTTGTATCTATTCTGACATGATTTATCTGTTGATGCTAATTTTGTGCTTATTTACAAGATTTCCACCATATGACTTGTATCTGTTATGACATGATTTATCTGTTAATAACGACACTGATGACATTCCTCGTTTTGACAAACCTTCCCCGAAACTATGTCTGTGTGATATCTTTGTTTTTTCTCTTGTTACTTTATTTTATAAACGACCTGTATGCTCCTGGCCCTTAGTGACGATGTAGTTCCACAACATTTATCTCTTTCGTTTTCATGCACTGATGTACGTATTTTCATGTGCATGTTTTGGAAATGATATCATCTGTAACAAGTTATTTTCATTTATCAAGTGGTTGGAATTCTTGGCATGATGTGGGATTCAACAGGGTCGATTTGGTTTGGTTATTTGCTGCCCACACATGTTGGTTTATTCGTGTCCTCTTATATTGCTACTGATTTTTTCTTCATAACGATTTTATCATACCCTTGTTATCTTCCTCATTTGATTCGTATTTACAAAGCAGTGCACATGATTGTCTGTAGATTTTGTGCTTGGGTTACTTCCAACAACGAAAATGTTTTCCATTTAAACGAAAGATTTTGGATTTTTTACTTTCCACCCCACCCACCCACCCACCCACGTCATCTGTATGTATCAATGTCGTTTATCTCTGAGTCAATTGTGCAGTACTGTATGCATATAGTACTGGTTATAACAATCCACTATAACTTCAATTTAGTTTCATCAGCTTTCTATTCTGTTAATTTTTTTGCTTCAAAATGATGATATGAATCTTATGGTAAATTTACGGATGTCAGGTTAAATGCCTGTATTCTAGTATATCTTCCTATGTGTCGGGTATATTGCTTTTTGTATATAAGCCAATGTGCAATTCAAAACAAATACAAGACCATAAGCAACATTTGGTTTGATGAGATGTTTTCGAGCGATTTGGATTTCGTGAAATGATTCTGGAAGAATCTGAAATCTTTTGATGTTTACGATATGTAATGGAATTGAATTCCATTGTGCATAGGTAATATTTAAAAATAAATTACAAATAATTAAATTACATTTTTATTAGTTGATTATTACAAAATGAATATTTTAAAATATTATTACAAACAAATTCTGCAAAATCAAGATACATCGGTTGCATCGCACGGGTACACAACTAGTTGCTATGTAATATTTAAATTATTTAAACAAATTAATTAATAAAAAAAATTAAAGGGACAATATTTAATTTTATTCACATCATTATAATATTTTAAAAAATAAGTTTATTATTAAATATATTTTATTTCAAATATTAAATTTATAAAAAATGGGTTTATTTATTTATAAAAAAAAAGAGTGATATCTAACAAAATCTTTATGGGAGCTTGAAAGGAAGGCTTTAATGGTGTTTCCCCTCTTCACTTTTGTTTTACAATTTTCTCCTTTTCAATCCTTGGTGGGTCCCACTTGGAAAGCCAAATCCATTTGTATTGCATTTGTCAAGATTTTGGGTGATGTTATTTTTCCTACTCTCAAAAACAATAAAAAAATATTTTTTTATATCTATACTGTATTTATAAAGAATTTGATAAAAACTCTTAAAAATCATTTTTTATGTATGAAGTATTGTTTGTTGATGCATACTACTTAAAATTCAAGATTAGAAGCAATTTTGCGTTAGTACAACTTATTAAAACTTCATTTTAAAATTCGTGTAATTAATTACAGATAAACATAATCAAATACAGAATAAACATCCATTTTAAATATAAAAAATAAAAAATATAATTAAGATAATCATTGAGTTATAATAGAATGTTTAATTATTATATTTATAAAAAATTATATTATTAAACCAAAAAAAATTACTTTGTTATTATATCTAAATTAAATTACAATAAAAAATTAAATTAAAGAAGTTACACCAAAATAAATAAGAATTATTAAATATTTAATTTGATATTAATAATGATTTTTTTCTTTTCAAAATTTTATGCTATTTTCAAATCGGTATTTCATTCAAAAATAAAAATTTTAACGCTAGACAAAAAATAAAAACTAAACATTAAAATCGAGATTTATCTCGTTGCATTGTGCAAGTACCCTCATAATATTATTAAATGCATTCTTATCTACTAATTTCTTTATAGCACACATCAATATCAAGACTTATTTTTTTACATTTTCAATGAATTATTTAACCTAATTCTGATATAAAAAAACCTAACATTACTCTAAAAAATTATTTATTTCATTTTTTTAAACTTTTATTTATTTTTTTCCTTTAAAAAAGATTTATTTA